ATCAAGATTACTGTACCATTGATTTACACTTGTTAGTTGTTGTATTGGCCTTGCATCAATATATTTTGCAAAAAGAATTTTAAACAATAATGACACAATCCACTTTTAAATCCAGTGTGTGAAGTCTGTCTTCGCATATGAGTGTAAACACCATTTTGGTGATCAGAAAGTACATTTTGTAAAAAATTGTCATTCAAAAGAACTAAAGAAAATGGAGCTGGATGAGCCGATCGGAAAACTCCAGCAAAGCATATTTCCAGGGAAAGTGAAAGAGACATTTAGACAAGTACCAAGAACTCTTTGCACAGAAAGAAATAAAGAGAACCATGTAAAGTTGGAAAGACCTTGAAGAAATTCCTCAGTATAGACAGATTATCATCATCATTTTATACCCCAAAAGTCTGCTTCTTTGGGCAGTTTCGCTTTCTCTTTTACCTTTTTGCCTAACGATCCTGCATTACTGATAGAACTTGTGCTTTTTCCATATCATCTCTATGATTTTTTTTCCAATTGTTGGTGGTACATCTGATTCCATAAACAAAATTTGTTTCTGCCACTTGTCATTTGACATCCTTGTCCTAAGCAGTAGTGGAGTGAGCAGGGACAGGGGGAATTTTCCCCCGTCCGACAGGCCTAAATCCCCTATCGTCAGACGCACGCGACTAAGTCTTCGGATCAAAAATATATAAATTATTTGCCTATCAAAATGACGTAATTTTGAATGCCAATCCTAATATTGTGGTCTAAAAGAACATTTTGTACCATACTAAGCCATGACAACTCTCACCATGAACCCTACAAGAGAGTTTCTATTCCGGCCGTCGACTGAGGTTTTGTTGCCCCTGCTCAGACCCCTCCGTTGAACATGTCGGATCCCTTGTCGGCAAATTTCTGGCACCACCACTGGTAACATGTGCAGTGTAACTACGTGATGGCGCATTGGTTAACAGTGAAACTGCAACACCACGCCACATTTAACAATTTTTATTAGAAGAAAATGTTAAATTGAAAGGCTCTATATAGAAACACCTACTGTAAAACCTAATGCAAAACATCATATTATAGTACCTACCATGTCATAAAGCTCATCGCTCATTTGTGG